GGGGGGGGGCGGGGGGGGGCGGCGTCGGCTTTCCTCCGTAAATTAGGCACAATTTGTAACCCAGTGTTTGTATCTTAATAGTTTGGATGTATTACTCGAAGCCTAGCTGTGTTGAGGGACAGGCCACTGTCTGTTTTGTGTGAGTTGAGAATGGGGTGTACGTGCCCCGCCTAGCTTGTCACACCCGAGGAGGGGGAGATTATGGAGATGTGGTCGATTCTTATGCGGATGGACTGCGACAGACAGCAGCATGTATGGTGATGATATTTTGCACGGGGATTCAACATCCAAGAAGCGCAATCACATGCAAAAACGTGAAGCCGGTACCTGGTGTTAACACGGAGACACGTGGCGGTCTGCTGTTCTTGTGCTTTGGTTGCTGGACGTGAAAAAGGAAAGGCGTTATGATACACGGCAACAGTATTTGGTACGACAGGCTCGGAGAAAATGTTGTCGGGAGGAGAGCGATGTGTATCGATCGGTTTAGTGTTTTCCTGCATAGTCCCAAGTGAAGACGAAACTATTTTACTTTGACCAAAAAACCGAGGCAGAAATGTATTGCCAGGAGTGTTCTCACTGACCACAAGAGGTTATGATAGCACCTAGCACAATTTGTACGCGTTTCTACGTGGGCATCTTTCCTTTTTTAGGTCAAAACTGCGAAAGACTTTACAGTTTGTGCGTTTCATGAGAACGCGTCTCCTTTGTGAAGTGGTAACGCTAGGAAGACAAGCAAGGCGTGAGTCTCCTTCCCTTACTGGTATGCATTTGCTTTCGGGTGCTTCATGTTTCCTGTTGTTTCGAGAGGCCCCTCTGGTTGTACGCACAGGGTTCGTCACACCGCGACTGTTGCTTGCCGCTCTTCTGTTGCTGCAGCCAGCCACGAAGAGGGGGAGGTAGGGGGGGGGGCTCGGGAGGAGCAAGCGGAATTCCAAGCCATCACCGCAGACCTGGTCCGCGTGAATCGTTCGTGTCGCTCGATGTGACACCAAAACAACAGGAACCATATTGTTGTGCTCTTCTTGGGAACCGAACGCCGACCTCGCGGCCCGCCCAATCGCTCGCAAGATAGATGAGTCGGTTCCTAGCCCCTCCGTTTGTTGGTGAGCCAGTCATTCTTGTCGTACGGGCGCGCAGGGGAGTGTCCGCGCTGGAGTGCGTGACTCCTCCATCGTGCGTGGCGGACACGTGGGAGTACGATCGCAAGGAAGGCTCTCGCTGTTAAAGTACATTCCCATCACGCCTGGCACTAGGACGAGGTCGTCGAAACCGGCAGTGTTATCGTTTTGGAGCGTTCTATTTTTGTTTACTGTGCGCGCGGTGTCATATAAATCATGTGCGTTTACAACTGCTTGCCGTGTGTGCGCCAGCAGCGTGTAGTGATTTTAAGGGAGCTTTTGTCCGCCTCTCGTTGTCTCTCATCTTTCTCTCGGAGGCGAAGGCGTTCGGCGTATGTGTGCTACACACGAATGCCCTTTCCTGGCAAGCAGGGTCGATGAACTCGTGCCGGTTCGGATGAGGCGAAGAGAGATTGTGCAGCCGAGAGCAGTAGACCCGTGTCCTTTCGTCATTTTCAATAGAGGGAGATGGTCGGCTTTTCCGTAGCTCTTTTTATGGATTTGTGGATGAGATATTTTGGGCCACGTATAGTCTTTTGTCTAGTCTCTGAGCAACGCGTTGATAGGTGCCTAAACATGCTTCCTCTCTGGGCAAAGAAGGAGACAAACATTTTATTTTTTTGCAGTCTAGCATACTTTTCAGCGTCACATGTATTTCCCAGCGGCACATGCTATTACCTTTGATACTGAACATACGTAGCTTCTTTTCTTTAGCTACGGAGGAGTATATGCTTACAGAGAGACGCCGTCTCGTGCTGTTGTTTGGAGGTCGTCGTCCTCCCAACAGGTTATTTCGGCCCTGGCTACCACCGGTTGTAAGATTGAAAAAATCCCGGACACGTCCGTATGCATACCTGCGAAAGGACTGATGATTTTGTTCGCTTTCGTAAAAACGAAAACGTCATCTTTTCGCTGAGCGAGGCCGCCAACCACGCGGCGAGCGGCCTCTGCGACGACGTCCTACGACGGCGCTAAACTTGGAGTAAGCTCGGTGTTGGCGGTCGAAAACCGAACAGACAACCAAATGATCGTTTAGTCCCAGGTTTTCAAAGAAGGCGCCACAAAGGTAAGCATCCAGCGGGTCACGGCCCACCTACATGCATACCTGTCACATATGGTAGCACCACGAGCAGCATCACCGACCCTGAAGCTTACTGTACGCAGTAAACTCGCGCTTTTCCCCCCTGTATGACAGCATTATGACTGCCGTGTGCTCGAGCCCCCGATCAACGCCGCTAGGTAGGAAGAATGTCACATTTCAATGAATGTTAATACCGGAGTTGACACAATGTAGACTGTGTAGTCGCAAAGGGGCTAGCATATGCCCTGATCTGGAGTAACGAGGCCGACACAACGTCCGGCCGTCGTAAGGATGTAAAAACGACATGCAGAGAGGAACGTTCGTTCGTGGACGGTGGGGGTTAGGACCTTACTACACGCTGCTGCATGGTGACGAGTGTGCTGTACTGTACTGAGATCTCTGCGCGCAACCCATACCAGGTAAGCAGCAGGCAAACCGTCTCGCAACAGCACCGGAAAGTTTTACCAAACATGCCCTGGGCCATTTGCTCCGGTACTGACTACGTTGACGAGAGAGATTCAGGTGGAAAACACCCGCGTGTTTCACTTCAACCAGAGTTGGTTAGGTCGCAGCTGAAAGCCAAGGGATACCGATATATCTATGCATGCATGCATGATAAACTCATGGACATGCGGTAACGTTCATTCATGTCATACAATGCTACTACTCCGAAACCAGGAACGTCCCGTCCGCACTCATTGCATGATCTCTCTCTCTCTCTCGCTCCACTCAGCCTCGCGGGGAAAGCAATCGAGACGTCGAGCCGTCGAGACTGTGCAGAAATTATAGGCGCGTAATCTCGCCGCTTGAGTTCACGCCTCCTTTCATATTTATCCATCCCCTAAGGCTTGTTGACAAGAGATGTTTGGTGGCATCGTCGCTTCGGGCGTCTCTGACTAACGCTGTGTGAACATCCTCTCCTCGCTCCCCAAGGTGAACTTAATACGCATGAAGGCTCCCATTGGGTGTTGTGAAAGGAGTGGTAAAGGTAGAGGCGGTCTGCTGAGAAGTGCGAAGCCAATCTCGTGTTTTGGCAGCAAGTCAATCGTGTATCTCGCCGCACCGCAGGGGATTGCTCTACCCACAGTAAGCGAAGACTATGGCAGCTTGCGTTCCTGGTAAGGCGTCTACCTTTCTATCCCGATTCGTTGAGATCAGTTGATATCATGAGGGCGCCCGCTAGCGCGCATGGTACGTTCCAGCGTCTTGCACATCCTGTTGTATCTGAAGTGCTGTACTTGGAAACACTGCATGATATCCTAGACCAGACAACCAACTGCTCTGCCCTCATCAGGAGATACTATATAATAATAAAGTAGATGCCATCTGTCTTCCTTTGAAACATTGTGGCTGTGCAGCACTTTCATCGGTAGATGCTCATCCCGTGTCGCATAGTTTACTTTTCAAACGCCACGCGGGCTCTCGGGCACGGTTTTCTCCAAGTGCGGATCAGTTTTCCGCGGAGGGCACTCACAGGAAACAGGCGTTCGTGGTGTCTCTGGTTCGCATCGTGATTGCAAGTACTACGAGCACGTACCTGAGAGTAATCGCCAGCTCTTTTGCAGGCAAGAAGGATTCATTATCAAGGTTGATGTACTGCTGTAGGTGAGGTGGTCCGCCTGCTGCGTCGAGTGTCGATTTGGATGGACTGCTGCTGTGTTGCATGTCCAGAGTTCACGTCCTGTGTGTATCGTGTTGGACGTTGTTGCCCCGCTCCCGCTCTCGGCAGAGAACACGCCGGTACAAGATTGGCTTGAAGCCTTTCCAGTCTTGTTGTTGAAGGAGTGCCGCCGAAAGCACATCGGAAATAGCTGTAAAGTAGCACGGTAGCCGCAGCCGCAGCAGCAACACCACCAACAGCACCAACACGAAGCGAGCGATGATGTCAGGCTTGATGGGGCGGAGGAGGGGCAAGGCTCCCACACGAGACAGGGGAGGCGACGGAAACACAGCGGTGCGTGCGTCCATGCCCTCACCGCTGTCTCGTGTGCAACTGCAGCTTCTACGCAGAATAGATGCATGCTTGTAGAAATATCGGTGGAGGGGGGAGGGGGGCTATTCTGCCCCAAGGGCAATCAGGTTCGCAGGAGAAAATCGTTGCGGCCTGGTTTTCAGTCGATCTGCCTCGTCCTGCTTGATGCTGTAACACGTTTGCTTTTGTATCCGTTTGTTTTTGCTTGTGATCGTAAGGATGATACCCCTTGTGGTAGAAGCCCAATCGAACGAGCAGACAGTCAGTCCCCTTACTGCGACAACCACAGTAGGTCTGGACTGCTTGCATAAACAGCAGACCAGTACCCTGAGAACACTCATCAGAGACTAAGTAGTTGTTGTTGATCGGGCAACACGCTCACATGGCACCGACCCTTCCCTTTCACCTCGCCGGATACAAACTTGCACAACGTTTGTTTCATCCGCACGACCGCTCTCTCGGCTCAAATGCACGCACAGCGGAGCAGCGGGCGGGCACTGGAAGGTTTGGACTTCATCGAAGGCCTCGCGGGACCGGGGCCCGGGGGCGAGAAGTTCGTTGCCCACAAAGAGTGGACGAAAGAGCCGTTTGCCGATGACTTCGACGACGAAGACCTGGAGTGATGTGGGGGCCACTCGTGACAGATTGACGACGGTACACAACAGCAGCAACGAACACAATAACGTTTGATTTTTTTGGGTGGGAGTACGGGTGGTCCGTCCGGGGAACAAGCAGCGAGGAAACCAAAATGTTTCGTGTGGTCGTAACGATTGGAAACGAACGCCTTGTTTTGCGCGGGTAGCCGCCGTCGCAAACGGCGGCTTGTGGGGCGGGAGGGTGCAGTCCCTTGCAGCATGCATGCAGGAGATTGAGGCAAGGGTAGAGTTGGTCGTGTTTCGATGGGGGATATAGACATCTACGACGAAGTCGTTTGGGTTCCGACGAAAGCTGAAGAGTATGGGGCGAACGAACGCACGCATTGGATTACGTGATTCAACCTTCAACGTAGACACGTGTGGCGCTCGGGGATGTTGGGATGACGCAGATACAAAGCCCATCTTGTCCTTGTGGTTCAAGGTTGAAAAAAAGGCGAAGAAAAAGGCGAGAATTGTCAACAGTGCCCCCTTCCAACGCCTGCGGTTGACACACTCGACGTGAATGCCGTGGGGAGTTGGTACACGATAGTTCTGCTAGAGTTCACCGTGAGCCCACTCGTACTTGAGCAGGAAACCAGGCTTAAATGCTCTGGGGGAACTCTGTTTGAGAAGAACCAGAGTCACCCTGCTCGCGGGCGTCTGTTCCTCTTCAAATTGCAGCGCCGACCTTGTCGGCTTGCGCCTCATCCAAGCAATCTTTTGAACAAAGACAAATTCTCGGGGCACGAATTTCAAGCTATACAAATTACTTTTTATCTTCTTTCGCACCAGTTGTGTCTACCCATGTCTTCCTTGGGTGCGCAACCTCGCGTCGCCCCGCGCTACTACTCCGGGTAGGAAAGGAGGCACACAGGTTTCTGATAGATAAAAAATAACGTGCGGCGCACTTTTTCATTATCTCGCTCTTTCGTAGTAGCCGGTCTAAACCATCCACCGCACACATATGTAGGCACCCATGGCGGGGCAACCGCACCACGTTGCCACACTCCTGACTTGACTAGTGGACGGGCGGCACCGGGGCGGGCCAACGGCTGACGCATCCAGTACAGGCGGGCACAGCGGAAACCGGCATGCTCGCGCGACGCCACTTGCGCCTGCCCCCAGCCCAAACAAGGACAACAGCAATAATACCGGAATGAGGTGCCAAAACGAAGGCGCCGCACACAGCAACCCTGACACGGTACTACCCGCCGTCGAAGGACTCCCCCGCCCCCCCTCCCCATCTAATAGGCCTCCTTCTGTAGGCCTCCCTCTACCATTCGCAGCGAGCGACTCACGGACAAGATTTCCCCTGGCTCCCTTCATAACAAATGCAAACGCGGAAACATCACGGGAATCAAACCACAAAATCGTCGCCACAATTCGTGAATTGGCAGACTAAAGCGAGAGCTAGTTCATACACTGTGGGCGCGACTTGCTGCTGACTTGCTTGCCTAGCTAGAAAATAGTCATCCGGGGTGAAAACACGCATCTATCCAACGTCCACGCGCCAGCCCATCACGACATCCTGCACTGCTCGTGAATTAATGGTTAAACACCACACACACATCTCTCTTTGCCCCAACAGCAAAACAATCGCCGGAGCCCCCTCCTCCCCCCCCCCCTCCGAACGAAATTCCAACAAGGATTCGATTAGATACGTCAAGATCGACTGTGATCAAAAAGGGGGGACAGGAGTGCGAGGGAGGGAAACCTCAGGAATGTGTCACAAAAAACCAAAACTGCCGTGATTTTTTGTTGCTTGCCGCTTAATGTGTGGTTTGGGATCGGATAGGTCCGACTTAGAGAAAGCCGCAGGATCGGGCACGAACCACCCGTTTTCGCTTCACAAGAGACCAGATCGTGACCGCAAAATCATGAAAACCAAAAAGGACTATTTCCCGTCACAACCAACCGCCGAGGAGATTTTTTTTACCGCTCAACGTGCACCACCCCCCGCCAAGAAAAACGCCTCCTCCCCGGTTTCCTTAAGGCGGTAATTCAAAGCTCCCCGCCGCCTCCTTGTGGCCGCTTGTCTTCCTGCTCCGGGGCAGCCTTGTCACCATCTTCGTCTTCTTCCTCCTCCTCTTCCTCCTCATATCGTTCATCCTCGTCCTGAAAAAATAGTTGAGGAATAAGAAAAGCACGCGCGGAGTAAACCTCAAGGGATATATCTGGTGAAACCCCCTGTGTACAACAGAAGATGGGTAACTTGGTCACTGGACATGACGATACGAGCAATTAGGGACATGCATGGAGAAGGGCAAGCGTCAATCCTATCCCATGCATAACCGAACCCAAAAAATGATACGAAAAAACACACAAGAAGAGACGCGAGAAACAAGGAGTGAGAGAGAGACACGCAGGAACAACGGTTTATTAGCGCAACAGAAACATGGATACGATGGAAGAGGTACCCACGATGGGAGAGGCAGATTCCGTAATATGGGTACATACCATAATATGGATGCGATGGAAGAGGTACCCACGATGGGAAAGGCGGACACCGTACAGTACTGGTTATATATATGGCGCCGTACTCTTCGCGTGGAGACACGGTCACCAACGACGACCGCTAGTCCCGTACCGTGAGCAGAATTTCCTTTGGCCGAAGGAAAAAACCAACGCACCACCTCTCCGAAACGTAGATGATGGTAACTTAGAGACACATCCGAGAAGACATTGTGAGCAAAGCGGGATACGCAACGCACCAATTTCTCCGAGCTGAAACTAATCACATGGACACATGCAACAGCAACAGCAAACATCGCAAGCAAAAAAGGAACACGAACGCACCAATTCGCCCGCGAGAAGCTCCTCCATGCGCCGTTCCGCCTCCTGTTCCTCATCCGACGGCTCGTCTTCTTCGTCCAATTCCTTGAGGATGTCCTCCAATGACTGCACCTTGGGCTTGTCGATGTCTTGCTTGGATTTCTGCAACAGTAAACAAGAGAGACAAACACAGAGGATTAAATATAACAGAAAAGCAGCAGCATTGTCGATGTCTCGTTTTGGACTTCTGCAACAACCGCCGCAACAACAACAAACAGTTGGCCAAAAACAGGAAGGGATAAACAGTAAAAAAAAAGCAGACGCACAAAAACGAAGGTCATAATCCAACGTACGGCCTTGGAATGACACACTGCATGACGCAAGTTTACGTTGCCTCCTACGTACACCCAAAGGGCCGTCCTAAGAGCGCGCCGTTCCTATTCAAACAACGTCACACGTCACAAGTACTGCACCGTCCATGAAGATGCCAGACAGAAACAGCATACGTACATTCCTTCTCGACAAACGACCGGTGTCCGCCGACACGATACAAGTAGAGGTTGGTGAGAAAGATATCAGCCCCCCTGAACCGTTATTCAAAGCAAAAGCACTCCGTCACGAAGGGGGTGCCAAACCCAAACGATTTCTACATTTTCGAAATGCTCTTGGCGACACGGTTCCAACAGCCATCTTCAGCACCGGCACCCGTATTCGCTTCAACCTTCAAAATCGGTCCAGGGGGTAGGGGGGGGGTGTACTCATAGTCGTGCATGCCGTAGTCGTTAGACCATTGACCTCGCATCCCTACAAAGCCGGGACGGAGCGCGCCGGGTTCTCACCGGACCAGGCTCTCACATCACCAAACGCGAAGCGCCGTGAGATATTCGGCGAGTCGCATGAAGGGTGTGCTGCATCCTGCTAAGGGTGTTCGGCATCTTGTGCTTACTTCCTTGCGTACAGATGACAGCTGCGTATGACTTAATTTACTTTCTGGTGCTTTCACTTCCAGAGACAGTTGTAAGCACTGTGTAACTGCCTCGAGGGTGCTTGACCATTTTAACACAACGTGGTGCGATCATCCCCCTTGCGCGGAGTGAGGGTTCTCCACCCCGCACAACATGATCTACTCGGCCACCAGTATGGTTACCGCCAAAAAAAAAAACGGAGGTGAAAAAAAAAAAAACGATAACCTGGTTGCCGAGTTCAGGAAGTGAATCGGCTTGTTTTACAACGTCGTTGCCAAGCGACGAAAACCCAACCCCGATGGCAAACACCGGGGGGGGCGGTCCAGGGGGGGGGGGGGGGGTTATGTTGTGCAACACAACACTCCTCACCTCCGAAACATCGGAGAGCAGCTTCCCCGCGTAGAGATCCGACATGAAGTCCGACTGGGCGCTGATGAAGGTATCGAAGTCGGTGGGCTGGTTGTACGCCCAGATGACGAAAGCGATGACCCCCCCCACGGCAACGACGCGGTAGTATCCCTGCCCGCTCGACCCCTTCTCGAAGGTCCACACCTTTTAGAAGGAACCAAACCAAAACAGACCGAACGAGCAAAAAAAATCGTGACACCACGTCGCAAAAGCTGTTGTTACAATCAACAACAGAAACTTTATTCGACGGGACAAAAACAGACGGAACGGATGAATCAATGGTTTCAACATTGTTTGTGAACCGTATTGACGCAGTTTGATGCGTTTGATGCGGATGAAAAACAACAGAGAACCTTGACAGAAGGGCGAAAAACGCGTGAAGACTCCATGCAACCCGTAACGTATTAGTACAGTGGGGTCCGTGTTTAGTGCCGGATGAATAGTGCCAATGACCGGTATCGGGCCGGCGTTTTCGGCGGGCACACACTGAACTTCCGAAGCATTGTCAGTACACTGAATAGTGCCGGTGAATTTTCTGGGCACATACACCGCCAATAAACAGGGACCCCCTCTGTATCTCGACCGGGTAGTCTCTCTGCGGTTGTACAAAGTATGCGAAATTTAGAGCCTGTTGCCCACAGGAGAGAATCGCTGTGCTCTACTCGGGTACCCATAGAAACACTGAAAGCGCTTCGCCAATGCATTATTATAGCTCATTGCTACATAACTTATCTTGGACTCTCATCATCCATGGACAGACATGAATTAACCGTGTGTATATTGTACGTGAAATATTTTGAGAACAAAAAAAGAAAGTCTTTTTTCCCTCTCCTCACCGGAGTGAAGGACTCGGCAAAGGCAAGTGTTTCGTCGAAGAGTCGAGGCAGCACCCAGAACTCGTACCCAGCGATCCACGCGAAGAAGAAGAGGAGACACCGGATGGTGAGGAAGGTCACCATGATCACCAGCAACGTCACCGAGAGGTACCACATCCACACCTATGGTGTTGGTAAACAATGGTCGTGAGTTGTAGGTTACGGACCTGTCTCGTAGTGCCAGCAGCGTACCCAATGGGTTTGTTCTGTTTTCCGTCAGAGAGAGACAGAGAGACAGGGAGAGAGAGAGAAAGACCGATACAGACAGACAGGCAGACATAGAGAGAGGCAAATACAGAGACAGACAGACAAGACATATAAAGGGAGAGACAAGAGAGACACAGAGACAGACAGAGACAGAGCAAGAGAAGAAAGAAAAACAAACACACACCTTGAGGATGCGTGGCCAGATGGGGAAGCACGTGATGAGCAGGAATCCGATGATGATGAGGGCGGTGAACAAGTGGCTCAGACGCTGGGACCCAAGGAAAATCCACGTGAAGTAACCGGCCGGGTCGAACTGATTGTTGCTGCTCACCTGGACCCCCAAGAGATGGGGTAAGAGAAAAAACAAGTAGGGCAGAAGAAGAGCAAAAAACATAGGACCCTGAGGGACGAGAAAAACAAAGGGATATCCCGGACGACCGTTGGCCGCCATTTCCAACACTGCGGAGTATTCCTTTGTGTCTTTCACCATGAGGTAGCAAGACACCCCGAAGGACCACTGGCCCTTGCTTGAATTCAAACCGAGACAAACGGGATGGCGCCGACGTCTAGCGTGTATGTAGCACGCAACCGCTCGTAAAACTGATCGGCGTATGGCGGCGTTGAGGTGTGCTACGAGAGCGACAACCGAGGCTACTGGCCCTCTTCTGTTTCGTAAAAACCATGAAAATCCAGTGAACCATGCCAAAGGAGGGTGTTCGAAACCATCAACCGGTGTTCTGAACCATCACAAGGTGTTGCGATAACCATCAGGAGAACGCGTTCTTGACCATAAAAAAATAACGTGTTATTAACAATGAAAACAAGGTGCCCGCCTCGTGGCACCGTTGCATCAACAACATCACAGGGCCGGACGGAATACAGTTCCAGTACTATACGTCCGACACGCTTGATGTAACTATTGTAGAGCAACACCAACGAGGTTATATCGCACGCCCAAGTGCTTGTGTCGACTTGGAGGCTAGTACACGCGCCTGTGCTACAGCAGAATGCAGTTGTGTTTTGTTGTCAACAAAAAATACAGCCGAGAGTTCAGACCAAATTTTTGCCTGATTGTATGGGTGATGAAAATGTACGCAACCTACTTTTTCCTGCGGCCATTTCTTGCTTTCGGCAGAGGCGAGACGGGACAACAGCAACACTAAGAATGCAGTACAAACACAGCCGCTTTCGCCAAGTGCAATAGCATTGGTCCTACCCTCACCTCGAGATGGCGCTCTCCTGCTCCCCCCCCCTTGACCTTCTCCGAGCGGTGAAAGTACCTGCAGACGACGAGCGCCGACGACAACAACGACAACAACAATCATCATCACTGATAGCTCAGTGTAAAGGCTACCACAAACTCAAAATAAGCCCAGTTTCCAGTCGGTTTCAATCCACTTACTGAAAAGACTTCCAACACGTCCCTATCGACTGAGGGTATATCTCGAACGGGTAGTCTTTCTGTGGGGTTGTGCTTACTTTATAAAAACAATCAAGGGGTCGACGAAAGCGATGCATCACTACACCTCGGAACTGAGTTCACAACGTCGGATTAGAGTCAAGATCAACAGGGTCTTGTTACCCAGCTGATATTTCCAAGCAGCTCCGTGACTACCATAGGTTACGTTAGAGATCACACACCCCCGGACCGATTCTCGAAGCTCGATCCCCGCTCTGGGCGAGTGCCATCTGCTGGCGTTACGTATTCGCGCGTGGCACTGTCCTCTCGAAGAAAATGAGTTGACTCACTCATGGCGAAGGAGAGCTTTGCAGACCCGAATAGCCTCCTCCTCAGTCTTAATCGCCGGCCGCCCCTTCTTGGTGTTGGTCACAAGAAAATTCACCAACTTTTCCCCTGCAGGACAGAAAGACGGCCGGCAGTCAAGCGACCACAGGCCCCACGGAAGAACCCAAGCGATGGATTGCCGGACGAGGGATGCGGGGACGGCGAGGGTATTGCAAAAAAAAGTTCAAGGCTCGTCGCCCAACGAAGACAAATCAAGCACCCATTTTCTTGCCCTCCGCGAAAGGTGCAAGAGTCCGATAGCAAAGACATCGTACACACACAAATATCCACAACGAGAAAAATCATGCGAGCGATGAGACATCCATCTAACCGATGTTTTTCGGCCCGAGACTCGGCGGAATTTCCAGCGAACCCTCTGGCGGAATCGCCGCCAGACCCGCTCCACAGTGTCCCGAAGTTCGTTGAAATGACACCCCGCGAACGCTGCCAACTGACTTTCCAGTTGGTTTATCTGGGGGAAACAAGAGACCACCGACCCCTGGAGGAAATGAATAGGACAAGCCATGCTTTTGTCATCGAGGGCCCGGTGGATTCAATTTTCCCCCAGATAAATCAACTGGGATGCCATTTGGCAGCGTTCGTGGAGGGTCAATTCAACCAACTTCGGGACGCTGTTCAGCGGTCTCGTGGCTAATTCCGCCGCAAGGGTCGACGGAAATACCACCAAATCTTGGGCCGAAAAATACCCTCACGGTCAACATACATGCTGATCACACATGACAGCTAGCCAGAACAACGGTTCATACCTCACACAGACTAGTTCGAATTTCGTACCGCTGTTCGAGGTGCTATTCCTCTCGCTACAAGCAGCTAACGAGAAAAAGTGGCCGCTTGAAAGGTCGACCGAAAAACGCGAGCAATCTTGCATGCACAACACAGGATGTAGCATTTTGGTAACACTTCTTGATGAACACACCACCGAACCCGAGGGATCAACGATGGTTCTGCGACCTCATGTTGTGCATGACTCGGCTGGGAGTGGGAACTTGTTTTCGCCGCAGTCAACGCACACATACAGCTACCGGTGTAGACACGAACAACAACCCCCCCAGCAACGTCAACAGGGACATTCTGCACACAGCCAGGGTTGAGAGAAAGCTTGGGGTGCGAGAAAGCTGCGGTGCCTTACGTGTACTTTCGTGGGCTCGATTATTCCAAAGGGCCGCAATTCTCATCTCTCGACATTCCGCTTGTCGTGGCGCGGGGTGGGCGGGGGTGCTTTGTCGGCAAGAGCCTATAAGCTCTGGCATCGTTCTGTTTGGAGCAACTTGTTTCTTTTTTTGCTCTTGTGTGCACGTGGGCAGCGTCGTGGTTGCACATTGTAATAACGTTTGGGGTTTGCGAAATCGTATTCTGAATGGTTGAAAGACAGGCTGCTGCATAGCTGTCGTTAGCTGGCGCCACCCTCCCGCTGCCGAGCACCGCCCGGCCTGCCGCAGAATGAGCCAGCAGGCTGAATCGGAACTTGCGCGTGAGAAAACTCTCAGGAAAACTCCATGTTCCAGGTACGAGGGACCGCCCAAATCGCCTCCCAAAGAAAGGGGGGTCCTATCTCGCGTCATTTGTGTTATAATTGTAGGTGCCAAGAACAACTGTTGGCAAAAACCACCTGCTGTTGGTTGCACAAGACCCCACACCCCCCGGACCGATTCTCAAGGCCCGATTATTCCACGACCAAGAAAGAGGGTACATAATGCATCAAACGACATGTTGTCGGAAAGCTCTCGCCGAAGAGGTCCCAACACCACCAAATTCCGGTACCGCCCGTGTGCTTTGAGAGGCGGTCCAGAGGGTGTGGTATCTTGCGAAACACACGCTGCAAAATTAGGCGTGTACTGATGTAGTCTACATGTGGCAACACACGTAACCTTGCAGCGGAGATGGATTACGAGATGAGGTTATGAAATCAGAGCAAAAGGGGGCTATGAAAACGTTCGCGTCCGTTGCCGCCTCCCGCGAGTACCCTTGGGTAGCGTTGGATAGTTAGTTTTGGAGGCATGAGGCATGAGTACCTGGTATGCATACTAAGAACTGCCGCGATCTACATATGCATACATGAAATATGTTCGAGGAAAAATCGCGAAACATGAACTCCCGCCCCACCACGTGTCAGCTGCTGGTGTTGGGCTTTAGCCCATGAGTGTCTCGACCACAGGCTCGCGTCTTGACGATAAAAGCCAAACGCAAAGAAATGCTTCAGCCTCAAAACCGCGGGACAGGTCAAGCTAGGTGAAAAGAGAGAGAGGGCGACCGGAAGCGTGTGATGTGTAGGTGTTGTGCTGTGCACGAGTGGATGCGGTGGAACCCATACAAGCTGTACACATTTTTTTTTTTCTGCACCACGTTTACGATGTGTTTTGAGAGACTTGCAGTTGATGCTTTCAGTTTCCGCGAGGACTGCTGCTAATCTATCTGAAGTCTCGTTTACCGGCGGTGAGAATCGACACAGTCATACTCCCATGGACAACTTCCAGGAAACAGCAAAAATATCAAAGGTGGGTGGCCGGCGACAAGGGGGCGTCTGGCCCCGAAAAGCCGCCCGTAGCCCCACATACATGCACGACACCCAACCCGCCGCTGGACATGATGAAATATGAATTTTACCTCGCTTACAAGCTAAGGGAAAACGGGAGATCATCGGGAATCGTTCGCGGTACCACAGAAGGGAGACTATTAGGCAAGACATGCGGCGGCCACCGCGGCAAGGAAGGGAGTGTTGGGCACGAAACAAATCCGATTGCCGCTGCTATTGAGCTAAACACATGTTTTTGGGAGCCACCCCACACAACCAAGAGGAACTAACTTTAAGGACACGGGACTTCCTCCAGGGGCTGGAAAATAAAGACAACTTGGGGCACAGCTGTGAGCGTCTGCGTGTTCTTATTTGGCCCGCAGCAACGTGCTTCCAACTACACCGCAGTACTCCATGAGCCAAGGGTACTGGTGTCGAAAAGGAGCGGCGGGACGCAACTCCGCTCCTCCTGTGATTGGTACACATAAGACACCTGATCATGCACACACACGAGGAACCCAACTCGCTGTTTTGTAGGAGGGAGGCAGAGAGAAGACGCAACCGGGTCTGCCAACGTTCCGGCAGATCCGTCGCGGTCTCACCAGGCGATAGGCATGGTATCACACTCTCTGCCCGCTTCCCTTGGCGAAAGAGGGAGAGACCATATCGCGCACCCGATTCCTGTATAGGACCCACGTTCATCCAGCAGGTATTTTCGAAAGAGCGAACGACCCGTTGTGTGTTGTGTGATCGAGATTTGACTTCATCTAAATCTCTCCGTTTCCTGCGCGTCAATGGCTCACCCTTGAAATACTCCACGCGCTTGTCCACCTCGATCGCTGGCCGTAGGGGCATCCCGTTCCTCCCCCTCAGGAACGCAGCCACTTCCTTCAGCCCCTCCTCAGTCTCATACTTGGACACATCCGAAGAACCTGCATTTGAGGCCATCCTCCTGCTCTCCTACACCCAGCCAACTAAACAAAACCAAAGCAAAGGACGCACACACTCCTTTGCTGGCAAACCTCTAGGTCTCTGCACGCTTGTTGCAATGCTTGTCCGGCTTTCGTCACAAGCAGGCGTCTCTCCTCCTCAGTGGTACACAGCAGCGGTGACTGGGCACAAGCTCTCGGACCGCTCAGAGACCCACCGAGGTCAAACACGCGGGGCTCCGAGGTCAGTGGGGGGTGCAGAATGTAAAATACCATCTGCGGGCCTCACCTGGCTAGCTTTATGCACTGCTGTGCCTGCCACGGCTCCTGCGTGGTTTTGGCCCCCTCCCTTGTGTGGAGGCACAGAGGCCACACAACAACAGCAGCACAACGCCGTGCCGTTCTTGAGAGAGTTATGCCCTCTTCCTCTTCGCAGCACCAGCAGCACTCGCTGCTGGTGCTCGTGGTCCCCCTGGGCTGTGCGGTGTGCGCAGCCCTGGTTGGATACCAAGCAGGGGCGGTGGCATGGCGGCACAAGAGGGAGGAGGACCAGGCCAAAGGTGGGATTGTGTTCTACAGTATTCTCGACGTTTGTTGTTGATTGTATTGACTCTATTTATCCATTGTGCTGCTGAAAAATTGTCTATGTCTGTGTTGGTGGCGCACGGTCGAATGCCGACGATAAGCAGACATGATCCCATGTCTTATGCTGTCAGGCCATTTTTGTGTTGTGCAGATACATCTTGTCGGCTACTCTGTACTGCTATGCATAGATATATGCAGCAGTAGAAACCACGGCGACCAAGGCGTGGAGGCCTTCGGTACTTGTATGTTAGTGTAGCCGTGCTAGAGATTAGCGACAGTGAGGTTGAAGGCATGTTCGAAGTGTGTGTCTCCAGAAGGGCATTTGTTTTGGCGAGGTACTTCATGTTCTACACCAGGCAGCCTATCATGTAACGGTTGAGCAGCACTGAGCTGTCCGTTTCTTCATGAAGGTGTGAAACTGAGCGTTCCCGTTGTAAATGCAAATCAGGTTCCTCCTCATCGTCTCTCCGTCCCTCAAATGCAAATGAGCGTGTGTGCCGTGCGTCGAACAAAACATCGAGCAACACATATGTAGGCACCGTTATGTTTTGCAACGAGAGTTGCATGTATATTTCCCTATCGTGGTGAACGTTCTTACATGCTTTGCGTTGACGTGGAAATTCGATTCCGATTTCAGAGGAAAAAGAGGCGCACCAACGGAGCACCGCCGCAGGCATGCAACACCACCACGCGCTGAGGAGGCTTATCTCCGATTCCACCGGGAGAGGTTTCGGAACGGTCAAGCGAGTCTACGTCGTGCCAGGTACGTATCGTCTACTGCGCCTTTTTTTCGGGGGGGGGGGGGGGACTCGG